CCGGGGGGCGGGGGGTTGTGGTTTTAATTTTATTTTTGAAACAGGGATTCACTGTGTGGTATGGGCTGGCTTCAAACTCATGGCAGTCCTCCTGCCTCAGCCTCTCAAGTGCTGGGATTACAGGCATGCACCATCATACCCAACGATTGTTTGGTTTTAAGTGATTTGGTTACCAACATCAGAGAGACAGGCTGATTGAAGAAATAGCTAAGAGTTGGACAGTCCTGCATGCATAGTCCAGTTGATAATAAGGGAAATTTACTTCTCAGACCCTCCATTTCCTCATCAGTGAAATTAAGATTATAAAATCTGTCTTGGGTTATTGTGAGGATTAGGTGACATTCTAGGACAGTTTGATATATAGAGAAGCTAAGCAGATCTGTACCAGTTTAATTACATAACAGAGATTTGCCCATAAGAATCATAGTTGCTGCTTCCCTGCAACCTGCCACTTATCATCCCCTGCACATTAGAGATAACCAAAATGGTGGAAGGTCCTATTAAATTGCATCCTGACCAAAGGGAAGGGAGGAGAGGTGTGCAGCTAAACACCTGTAGAGAAGCCTGTGGACAAGCAACAAGCTAGCTCATCATTCCAGTCAGTCATCACATGTATCTTAGGTTACTGTAGGTGAGCAATATACACTAGTAGAAATCTCTTGGCTACCAGTATGCCTCAGATACTGTACTAAGTTGTGGAATAAAGAAGTGAATAAGCCTGCTTGGAGAGATTTTTAAATCCTAAATGTGCATAACAGATATTGTCACTACAGAATGTAAGATCTATAAGGATGAGGGTTTTGCTTTATAACAGATATTGTCACTACAGAATGTAAGATCTATAAGGATGAGGGTTTTGCTTTTTTGTAACTATCCCAGCAGTAATACAGTAACCACAGGGCTAGTAGGGATATGATAAACATTCTGAAGGTTATAGGGGAAAAGCAGTCATTTTAAAATTAGGGTTTTTATCTTAGTATTCTTTCTCCTGAGTTTCTAAAAGAAAACATAGCTGCCAAGCATAATGGCACACACCTGTAATTCCAGCTACCCAGCAGGCTGAGGCAAAAGGATTGCAGATTCAAGGCTAACCTGGTCAATTTAGGGAAACCCTATCAGAAAGAAAGAAAGGGCTAAGGATGTAGCTCAGTGGTAGAACATTTGCCTAGCATGCAAAAAGCTCTGGGGTCCTTAACCAGGACTGAAGAATCATACTTAAGCTTTTCTCCCATTGAGCCTTTTCTCCCATTGAGCCATATCCGCAATCCTAAAGCAACTTTTTTTTCTTTTTCCTTTTTTTTTTTTTGAGACAGTCTCACTTTGTGGTTCAGGCTGGCCTCAAACTCAAGATGAAACTCACTGGAATTTCAGGTGTGTGCTACTATGCCCAGCATAAGCAACTTTAAAAGGCACAAAACCACTTTAAATCAAGTAAATTGTGAAGGCCAGTTAGCAAACATAAGAAAACAGCATGAACCTGGCCACTTCAAAATGCTAAAGTTTCTCATCATTAACATCTGGAACCAACATAAATAGCAAACATCTGCCCACTAAATCAGGATACTGCACTGAATGCAGTCCCCAGAACCACCACACACACAAAAAAGTTAGTAACTCAAAACCTGTAGACTCTGAATATCTGCTCCTAAAAGGGTAATATATACCTATAAAGTCAGATAGGAAAACAGGAGGACTTTTTTCATAGCCCTTCCTATCCTCGTCATGGTCTGGGAATTTTATATTTGTGATCCCATGGAAAAGTTATTGGAATTCTAGTGAATTAATTCCAATCTAACAATTCTAGTGCAACCCATGGCAAGAATAGATAGTAAGGCATATTTGTAATTGTGGGGTGTCACAGGGGTCCTAAGCCTTGCTTCGATGATGGCTAACTGAAACAAAGGCCGTAACGGCGAAATCCGAGGTTTATTAATTTGTGAAGAAGGGAGTGGTTTGAGGATGAGGAACTTTGAGAATGGTAGGAAATAGGTGAGTGTTGTGAGCTGGGCTAAGTAGAAGGCCTGAAATCACCTCTGCAATATGCAGAGAGAATGTGCAGAAGGAGTAATCTACATAACACAATTTGAGGTAGTACCTAATGTTTTGGGGTTGGTGGTTCGGCTCTGATATGGAATCTTTTATTCCCTGGAAAGTCATAGCCTCTTATCTTGAGGCTCAATCCCAGCTGACAACGTGGGGCATGACTCTACATTCTGCCTGGCTCACACATGTTTGGGAGCTACGAAGGTGAGGTAACACTGACCTGTTGCCTTGCTTCAAAGACGACACATCAGCACCTCGGCTGGACTGATGTGTATTGTTTAAAGCCAATTGAGGGGATAAGGAGAAACCCTACCCAGCTCTGTATATATCAATATATGGATCTAGGGCCAGGTTTCACCAAAATGAAGATAATTGCTCTTTTTTCAAGGAGAATTGTCCAAGTGGTCCTCCACAGCTATTACCATCTTATTCAAAAAAGGCCAAACTAGACATGCATTTCATTATCTCCAGGATTAGGGCAGGAGGAGGAAGAGGAGGAGGAGTAGTAGTTGTCATTTATTATATATTTTTTGAGGTATAAACATGAGAAGAAGACATGGATATCAGTATCACATGAAAATTGTGAAAAACACTGATACTAGCCTCATATACTCAAATATACTTAAAAGGGATAGTGTGGTATGGGAGAACCAAAATGGCAGAGTAGTGGTATGCAAAATTCAGACACTCCAAGAACTCCAAGACCTGGAATCCGGACACCTAAGAAATAGATAACTTGTCAAAAAGAAACATCTCTGGGAATCCGGAAGAAACTGACAGGAAAATTAAAAGCTGCAGGGAAGTTGCAGAAACACAACACGGGAAAGAATGAAGCAGTCTGGAAGCTTACCCATTGTCCCATGAAGGGAAACCTGTCTCTACAAACAAAGTAAGCAACCAGGGTCAAGAGCTCCAAGGAAAAAAAAAAAAACCAGGTCAGCAGCACTAGCCCCAGGAAAAACCCACAGCTATTATAAACTGCAAAAACAGCATGGAATTTTATCTGAAGTGACTCCTTCCACATAGCAAGCAAACTTTGGATAAGGAACTCATTGCAGCACCCACTATACTGACAGTGTTTAGTCAGGTGCCATTTCAGGATGCAGTCGATTATTTAAGACTGAGACTCAGAACAGTGATAAAACCACTTCAGGGTTCCCAGTATAGCCCTCCCACAGTGACTGGGTGAGACAGCTGTATGACATGGAAGTGGACAGTACAGGCTAGACATAGACCACCAGAGAAGGCTAACTTCAGGCTGGGAAGGACAAGGGGCCCTACCCTCCATAGTGAAAAGCCAGACCTGATTTGTGTGGCTCTCAGAAGTGACTGGGTCTGAAAGTGCTGGCATGAAGTACAGTAGAGTGCCTGGACCTTTTCCCTGCTGCCTATATCCAGCACAGATCGGAGGTCTGATTGTTTTCCCCATCTACCAACATGAACAAAGATATGCTTCAGACAGTTGCCACAGCTAGGGGTGAATGAACTGAGTGGTCTCTGGAATGGGGGAGGTACCTCATAAACCCACAAGCCATAAAGCTAGGTGGAAAAAACTAGGATGCTGGATTCCAAAATTGGAGCCTAGCAAGAACCTAGTCAATGAAAAATGCAGAGAAGAAATTTTAACTCAGTTTTTCCCACCTCTCCCCACTGGTTGAGGGTTTGGGGAATTTTCCTTTTTGTTTTTTTCTTTATTTATATTTTTTCTTTATTTTTCCTTTTAATTTTTTTCTCTTTATTTTTATTTTTCTTCATTTTTTTCTTACGGGGAGCAACTAAAGCTGCAGATCGATCACACAAGTGGGACTAAAGCAAAGCCAGTCCTGAGAACGTGGAGCACTCAAGGCAAGTCGTGTGAACAATTTGCAGCTCAGAATGTGAGTCATCTGAGGCAAGCCAGGCAAACAAGTTGTTAGGCAGAGGGTTTTCAACTCCAAGTGTTAAATAAATGCACAGCAGTTATTTCTCTTCCACCAGGAGGAGACGCCATCTGATTTCAGCCTTCTGCATTTTTTTTTTTTTTTTTTGGCCTAGCCTCTTCTTTTTTTTTAACTTTATTTTTATTTTAAA